GCCGAGGAGACGGCGACGGAGACGGCGACGCAGACGGCGACGCACGGCAGCATACGCGGCGAGCATCGCGGCAGCATCGCGGCAGCAGCGTAGCAGCAGCGCGGCAGCAGCGGCAGCAGCAGCGGCGGCAGCAGCGGCGGCAGCAGCGGTAGCAGCAGCAATAGCAGCGGTGGCAGCAGCGGTGGCAGCAGCGGCGGCAGCAGCGGCGGCAGCAGCATTAGCAGGGGGCATGCGACGTTACGTTGATATAGACAACTGTTATATTAATCAACCATAATATGTTTATATAATAATCTATTTAACTACCATGAATTCGTGGTTCCATTATCGCCTTTGAGAAATTAAATATATGTGATATCTAAGCGTAAAACTATTATATGGCGAAACATCTAGGATGTAATATAAACACAGGCAAAGTAAACAGTGAACAGTAATAAGTAAGCAGGCTAGTGCCCAAATGCCATCTAACACTGCAGTCAGCACGTACATTACCACCTTTTATGTTAACTAAGGGCCTTGCTCCACGTTCGGCTGAGATGGGTTAACAGTGGACGTGGCACAACCAAATAGTTCCCTCACTGCGTGACGAAAGTCCTTGTACTTGTAGAAGTAGATGATTGGATTCAGCAATGAATTAAGTGTCAGTGCATTTATTCGAATCAGCCGAAGTATTCGAAATCGGAACGGGAAGTTGTGGATTAAGATCATGTAAAGAACGTGCGGTGTAAGCAGAGTAAACGAAGTGCCGACAACTGTAAGTAAGGTCTTGGACATCTTCAGCGTAGCGTGGAAAGCGGACATGTCTTCTCTCTCCTCAGCTGATGCTGCAGCCATCATTCGCGTGTGGTACCAGACGATCTTCATGATGACGATGTAGCAGTAAACCATGGCGATAAATATAATAATATAGTGACTGCAAATGACATACACCAGTCCTGGTGAGAGTTTTAGTTCAATGATGCAGATGGAAAACGGCTCCCAGTGATATGACGTTTGGATGGCTGCTGCGATTCCAATCACAATCCCGTACGTCGTCGATAAAGCTATGAGAACACCAGTGCGAGTAGGAGTCATCAGCTGGTTGTAGCGTAACGGATGCACGATGGCCACGTATCTGTTAATCGTACAGAGCGCAATTTCCATCAAGGGCAGATGATGAACCGTGATTGCATACCACGTAAATACGGTACACCGCAGCATCGTGTCACGGCGTAGGATCCCTGTCCAGAATGTACAACCGATTATGAAGTCACAACAGGCCAGATTAGCGATCGTCATGTTTGCTGTTGTTTGCAGCCGGCGAATCTTTGCTATAACGATCATCACAAGCCCATTGCCTACCACTATAAATAGCGAAACCAGTACAAACAGTGGGACGTTTACAGATCTTGTACGTGTTTTCATAGTAGTGATATTTGCGTCGTCAGGGTAATCCTCATCAGCGTTGTCTCGGAGAATACCTGTCAAGTTGCTCTCATTTAAAAACAAGGTCACATCCATCGTCAATGCGCAAAACTTTAAAATAGTCTACGTTTCTGTGAGTTACGCTGCTGTCTTTGGATCTTCGTGCGACTAGATGTTATGTAATTTGACGATGGCGACGCGAGCTAGAGACTGCCTAGGTAACATCATGCATGTCGTTATATACTTCTGTTTGCGCGCGCGCATCAGCTTCTTTCTTACCGTGTGTCGATAAAAACCTATTACCTGAACCAATCGCAGGCTGCCGTTTCCCCCTACCACTGAATACAACCTGAGCTTCTATGTCTCAATCAGGCAGAAGTACTTCATGTGTTTCATGAAGTGTGTAAAACCAACAATTCGTTTTCGCACATTAAGTACACTACTAAAAGAAATAAAAGGTTCTTGAATTCTTAACCAATACGGATGTTTTATAAACAAAATAAAAGTCCTAAACATTTAATATGTATGTGTGTAGATTTAATATGTACGTGTGTAGTTAATTTAAATTATTACACGCGCCGAAATTGATATAATTTAGTTATGCATGTGACGCAACTTTCTGTTTTTATCAGAGGAAACAGAAAAAGTGATGTAAGATGCAACAACTTACAAAGGAATACAACCGTAAAAGCGGTTATACTGTATAAAACTGTTCCTGGTGCTGTTCGCGGCAACGTAATTCCCATATGACCTAATTGCGACCGGCAGTATTCATTTTAACAAAAATATTACCCTTTCTTACAATGGAGTTCTACAACATATACTTGTCACACTTATAAAACGTCGCATGAGCCACTACAACAGATAGCTGTCTTATCATCTGTTCAGACATATACATCGCAATACAACTGATTGCGCGTGTACGAGCTATGTTCAGCCTAGTATTTGATACCGCATGAAACCAGTTAATCATCTAAAGCCTAGCGCAGACTTGCGACTTTTTCATGCAATTCATGCTAATTCGATGCTAGAATCGCAGTCGAAATTGCTATGAAATCGCTACGTCTGCGGGAATGTGCAACTGCAATCCGTAGCGATTCTGGTCGCTTGCAACGAGTTGCAAGAAATCTAACTGATTTTATTTTCAGCAACTCGTCGCTCGCAATCGCTCCGAAATCGCTTCGAAATCGCACCTGTGCGGGTAGACAGCGACTTGCAACGATGAAAAATTCTCGTCCGACCAATCAGCGGGCACCATCTCATTACGTGAAAAATGCGTGTTATTATGTATGTATGTCTCTATTCGTCGGAGCTGCAGCACTGAAATAACCCTGCCTTAAATATATAACGGCCTGCGCATGAAGAGTTATAATGTAGAATATATAATTCATTATTTAGTTATGATTTATAATACTATACAATTATTTCTTATTCATCATATAATATCATATATAGGGCATACTAACATATTGTCTCATTGGGTCAATTTTCTACCACACGATTGAATGTTTTTGGGCGAGTTATGACAAATCGATTTTTTTTATAGTGGAATGGCCATATATATATATATATATAATATGAGACTCCATCTAGTCTTAGTGGCATGTTAGCTCCTAAAAAATTGAACAAAACAAGTCATGAAAAGACAACAGCAGTCGCGTGCATGCGCACACGCGGTGAGGCGTGCGGCCGATCGCTACGGTTGCAGCTATAGGTTGCAGAGACGAGCAACCAAAAATCGCAGGTCTGCGCTAGGCTTAATGCAAGCGATAATGTATTAATCTCGCTGAACATAGGAGGATGCGCACACACATACACGTATCAGTAATAGAGTTAGAGATGTAAGTTATCAGTTATAGAGCTACAGATGTGAATCGTCAGTTATAGATCGAGCAACAGACGTAAGTTATCATCTATACATCTGCAGATGCGTCATTTGTGGTAATATTCGGCACTAGCGTGCTCTAATCAGCATCATGCACGTAAAGTTGTCTTTAACTGTGGAAAAGTCGACGAGATGATAAACTTTCTCAACGTTCTATCGACCTTTCTATCAGATGTTCAAATTTTTACTTTATCGACCGCGAGTCGACGTTTTCAAATTTGTCCCGCAGTGTGCGCGCGCGTGGTGACTTGGATACGCAGTTTTGCACGTATTAATGCACGCCAGTGTGGCGCCGATAGCAAAAACGTTCTCTTCTTCTGGGTATGGTGGCCAAGATAGCTACGGATATTTTTATTCCAAATTTATTTTTATTTCAAATTTATTTTCATTTTCATTTCAAATTTATTTTCATTTTTATTTCAAATTCATTTTCATTTTCATTTCAAATTCATTTTCATTTTCATGTTCATTTTCATTTTCATTTTTATTTCAAATTTATTTTCATTTCAAATTCATTTTTATTCCAAATTCATTTTCATTTTCATTTCAAATTCAATTTCATTTTCATTTCAAATTCATTTTCATTTCAAATTCATTTTCATTTTCATTCCAAATTCAATTTTATTTCCAATTTCATTTTCAATCCAATTTCAATTTCAAATTCATTTTCATTTTCATTTCAAATTCATTTTCATTTTCATTTCAAATTCATTTTCATTTTCATTTCAAATTCATTTTCATATTCCAAACCTTCATTTGCGATGAAATCGCGTGGCCGAGAGGCTACGGATATTGGTGGGGGCGGAGTGACGTCACTTCCCCTTAGTGGGAGTTAACAAGAGAACAAACGCCAGTTGTTTTGGTTTATGATCGGTAGATAAGTTTTCCTGATTATATTCCATGAAAAACACACATTTTACTCATAATATAAACATATAATATCACTAATAATTGCAATTCTTTGATGTAAAATGTGTTATTTCATCTTCATTTTAAAAGTTATTAGAGGGTCTCCGGCTCTCGTAATACCGACATTACCCGTACGTACGTACCGTACGTAGGTGCCCGCGTACTGCGTACCATATAGCCCTGCCGATCCGTCGCAGGAGCCGTACTTGCCTTGCCTGTACGCCTACTGGGGGCCTACTGCCAAACTTCGTTCCAATAGCAACCAACATGTGTCTGTGGTTGAGTCCGCCGCTTACCGTGTGATGTGGTTATCCGTCTCGTGTGTGCAACAGCACGCAACCGGCGCATAGGCACACGCTCTGCGCGCACACACACGCACACACACACACACACACACACGACCACACACACACACACACTCATCACACCACACGCACGCGCGCGCGCGCGCGCGCGAGCGCAGCCTAGCACGCACACCATGCAACACAGGCGCAGCGCCACACAGCAACAGGCGCACGCCACGCTACCACGTGTCACACGCTTTACGTTTATCAGTGTGAAGATTTGATCACACCTCGTCACCTTTGACAATGAAAGTTTTGATAGTGCTAAACCAGGTTACCGATAGGGATGGCATGTGGACGTTTAGAAGGCATAAAGAGTATTATTTGACTTGTCGCGTTATTGTACCATATATTCTATCAAGGGACGTAGCGATGGCGACCGGTCTGCCGTTTTTCTGTGTGGAACGGGATAGGAAAACATGCTGGAAATGTGCATCATTAAAGTCTAGTCATTTAGTCTAGTCTAAAGTTTCGAGGTGGAGTGTCGATCGTGAATCTGTGTTTATTAAGCCATGAATAAAAGGTATGTCGTGAAATTATGCCGAAACTCTCTCCGTATTTTTAATTAATTTCTCTGTCAGTGCTTATTTAAGTCTGCCGGCCTATGGACACCTTCTAATTTTGCAAAATACTTGAACAATTTTGGAAATGTACATGGTTGTATACTGCTGTTACGCAATAGATAATGAGACTGAACAGTTATTTACGGTATACATGTGTTCTGAAACATATATCATCCATATAGTTGTATATAGAATATCTATCTTACAAAGATCATATATGGTCTTTGGTATTATTGTAGTGACCCTAAGGGTGGCCGCTACTGGCATACAGGCATTAATTTAGTTAACGCGTGTTAGATTGTGTTGAGATCATTTCTTGCTCCTACTGATAGACAAGACGACGACGCAGTGGCTTAGTCGGATATCAAAGTGAAACGCAATACTGATTATTTAGATATAATATAATGGAGTACCGTTGTTTTCACGATACAATACAATGAATATGTATGAAAATGTATTTTCGTATATTACTATATATATATAATAGATATATATATATATAGTATATAATAAATATTATATAATAAATAATATATTATAATATAATAATAATATATTAAATAAAATACTATATATATATATAAATACATATATATAGCTAATACTGAGGCGGTATGCGACGTTACGTTGATATAGACAAGCCTGCATAATAGAAAATTATATTTTTAGATTTTTCTGTTATATATGGAATCTTGATATAGACAACTGTTATAATAATCGTTATATTTATTGTTACAAGCACGTTACATGTTCCTTAACTACTAGGTGGGTCGCCCCTAATCTTCTATTTACGTCCTTAGCTTTTTCTAAGCCGAGAGCACCCCTGTGGTAGACTGTCTAGCCTCGTTGTTCCTGACCTGAAAAGCCAAAGCAAACACCTTTTCTCTACTTCCTGTTCCTGAAAGGTGAGCCCAAAAGTTACTCATCCTTTTCCTTCCTCTTCTACCTGCTCCCGAAACATGAGCTCCTTCTCACCCTTTTCTTCCTCTTCCTAAAAGGTGAGCCAAAAATCGGAAAAAACAACACGGCAGTTGATCACTTTTTGCTTATAACCGCGTATGCAAGAAAATGCGCCAGCACATACCAGCTCTGCGGATTTTACACATCTCGTATACATCGCGTATTATAACCATTTCTTACTAATCATCGTCAGCAGTAAACACACAGCGCCTGGCGTGACAACACAAATTGTAAGTAAATGTTCATTGGCCAACTAAATGAGTATTGATGTAATATCCGCCGGCTACGTCAATATTTCTGTTACTACCAACAAGTTTTTTTCGCCGATATTGTTGTGACAAAGATAACTCAGCTTGTTATTTTGACAATTAATGCGCACATTTCTAGGGATATGCAAGATATAGTGCCAGATAACATTATCACATTGCATTTAAAAGACGGAGAGTGACACTCATGGAAGAAAATTAAGAGGCCAACAAGAGCCATCTTTTGTTACTTACATTCGAAAGGTTTTAACGTATTATCTTTTTCAACTACACGATAATTTTTATAAAAACGTTAACCTTCCAGTGTTTAGTCATGAATTGACTAATAGACGTATTAGATGTATTAAGTTGTTTACCACAAATTCATGGCTATATTATCGCCTTTTACCAATTAAATATATGTGATATATCTAAGCGTCAAAATATTGTATGGCGAAACATCTAGGATGTAATATAAACGCACATCTTAAGTGAACAGGCTAGTGCCTAAATGCCATCTAACACTGCAGTCAGCACATTACCAGTTAACTAAGGGTCTTGCTCCACGTTCGGCTGAGATGAGTTAACAGTGGACGTGGCACAACCAAATAGTTCCCTCACTGCTAGACGAAAATCTTTGTACTTGTAGAAGTAGATGATTGGATTCATTAGTGGATTAAGTACCATGGCATTTACTCGAATAAACCGAAGTGTTCGAAGTCGGAACGGGAAGCTGTGGATTAAGATGAAGTGAAGAACGTGCGGCCATCCTTCGTGTGTGGTCCCAGGCGATCTTAGCGATGACGACGTAGCAGTAAACCATGGCGATGAATATAATAATATAGTGACTCGAAATGACATACCCGAATGCGGGTGAGAGTTCTAAGTCAACGATGCAGATTGTAGGCGGCTCCCAGTCATATGATACTTGGATGGCTGCTGCGATCCCAATCACAATCGCGTACGTCGTCGATAAAGTTATGAGAACACTACTGCGAGCAGCAGTCATCAGCTGGTTGTAGCGTAACGGATACACGATGGCCACATATCTGTTGATCGTGCAGAGTGCAATTCCCATCAACGACAGATGAAGAACTGTCATTGCACACCCTGAAAATGCGGCGCACCGCAGCATCGTGTCACGGCGTAGAATCCCTGTCCAGAGTGTACAGCCGATTATGAAGTCACAACAGGCCAGATTAGCGATCGTCATGTTTGCTACTGTTTGCAGCCGGCGAGTTACGCTGCTGTCTTCGGATCTTCGTGCAACCAGATGATATGTAAATTGGCGATGGCGACGCAGGCTAGAGACTGCCTAGATAGCATCACGCATATCATTATATACTTCTGTTTGCGCGCGCGCGCGTCAGCGTCTTCTATAACGTGTTTTGATGTAAACCTATAACCGTGAACCAATCACAAGCTGGCATCTCGCCCTACCACTAATTGTTCTTAAATTCTTAGCCGATACGGATGTTTTGTAAACAAAATAAAAGTACTAAACATTTAATATGTACGTGTGTAGTTAATTTGAATTATTACAAGCGCCGAAATCGATATAATTAAGTTATGCATGTGACGAACCTTTCTGTTTTTATCAGGTGAAACAGAAAAAGAGATGTAACATGCAGCCAATAATCCATGTAGAAGGAATGCAACCGTAAAAGCGGTTACACTCTAAAAAACTGTTCCTATGTGAATCGTTAGTTATACAGCTAAAGATGTGAATCGTCAGATATAGAGCTACAGATGTGAAGCGTCGGTTATAGAGTTATATATGTGAATTGTTAGTTATAGAGCTACAAATGTAAATTATCAGTTATAGAGCTTCACACGCACGCACGCAGCACGCACGTGTACGTGCACTACATAAACAGCGCTTTCTATCAGAACATGTGGTCATTCATCTGTAAATGTCAAGCAGCACGCTTCGCTTCTGCCAACCACAACACATAACAAATACACGTGACCTAATCTATGACGTCACGTGAAACATCGCTATTAGACCTGCGCGATGGCGTGTGCATATGTTTGCTAGTGAATTAGACCCGCTAAAATTCGAGACTGTTTGCTGGCAGCAATTGATCCGTGCGCCGGCCTTTCGATTTGGCGCACGGATCAATAGCTTACAGCGCGTGATACTTTCGTAGGACGTTCCCGCGGTCGCGTGCGCCTTGCCACGAAACTGCGCGCAAGATCCGCGCTTAGCGGGCAGGATCAACACCTCTCAGGCGACGCTTCTCTGGTATCCGGTCTCTCATCTGGATCGTTTATTGCCTCGCTGGATCTATATAACTGTGGTAGAGCTCGCGTTCTGCCTGCGCTTGATTGAAATAGAAGCACATGTAAGCTTTTCTAGTGTGCACAGCTGAGGTATCTGGGCGTGAAGCAGATGCTAGCTCTTGTCATCCTTTGGTGTGGACCCTATCGTTGCCCGACACGTAGGTGGATTTTGGAATGGGCAGCAGATACAGGTTTTATACCACCAGCACCATATATGTTTTACCATCTGAACGACAGATGACACTCATTACATTAAATTCTCCATCGTAACAACACCAACAGGTCGTTGCATCTAGCCTAGATGGTTACTATATGTGGTGTAAACAGTAGAGGGCGTCCATAGTACAGTAGAAGCATATACAGTAGAAGCATCGACAAACGCTAATTAAAAATACTCAGAGAGTTTTGGCGGATACGCGACATACACTTTATTCATGCTTGATGGCTACCGATTTAAATTCCATCATTCACTCAAAACATTTGTTGATTGATTTCGGGATCTTTCAGCATGTGGTCGGATCCCATTTCAAACACAATAATGGAGGACCGGTCACCATGGCTACGCCACTTGACGCAATGGAAAAATTATACGACAAGAACAATCTCACTTCTCACACGTTAGAGACGTCCACGAGGCATCTACCTTGCCTGCATAATGCAAATTACCGCACTATAGTACCGAATTTTAACGCAAAAAAAAATTTAGAAGAAGGCCTTTTACATAGACGATATAGTGCAAGTGTATGCCACCTATACGGTATCTGACCTTCCTTGTCTGCCATGTCCTTTTCGGCTGTCCATTTCCAAACGTTTCCGCGTTTAGCAGTGGTAAGCAGAAGAAACCCGATTGAGTAGTTTAAAAGGCCGACACAGTCAACGGATCAGCTTTAATCTAATTTAAAATAAACCATGTAGTGTAGCATCGACGAAACAACACACATTAAATAGAGAGATTGGTTTCATAAACTTACAACAAAGATTACATTAGGTACGGAATCAGCAGAGTCGAGTTTTAGCGTGCATCATACTTATTTCCAACACGCGTTACGTGAGATGTCACTTAGCGCCACAGACGTGAAACAATCGGGTGCCCCCGGCGCACAAAGACAATCAGGATTTCTCGAATTGTGATAAAAGCACTAAATTTAGCGTATAGGTCATGAGAGGTGTCGGACAAAATGACGGGTTTATGGACCCTCCAACGTATTGCCCTTTTGAAAAGGCACTATCGAATTTTAAAATGCATTTCTGTATGAACCTTTGGACGTGAATAATGTGTATTGACAAAATTTAATGATATTAGATAATTACCTGTTGTGCATATATTCAAAATGGCTGGCCATAAATATCAAAATTTATTTCAATGACAACTCAACACTGCCCATAGTCGTTCATCTAGTCATTTTATTTACTTTCGATTTAACATATAACAAAACGGTAATTAACCGGAGGCTCTGGAAACATCGACCTTTGTAGACCGAGAAAGTGTTCTTTGCAACTTGAAGCGTGATGCGTGTATCTCTCACGATAGGCTGCAACCGCTGCCGCTGCTGCCGCCGCTGCTGCCGTCGCTGCTGCCGCCGCTGCTGCCGTCGCTGCTGCCGCCGCTGCTGCCGCTGCTGCTGCCGTTGCTGCTGCCGTCGCTGCTGCCGTTGCTGCTGCCGTCGTTGCTGCCGTCGTTGCTACCGTCGCTGCCACTGCTACCGTAACTGCTGCCGTCGCTGCCGCTGCTGCCGTCGCTGCTACCGTCGCTGCTGCCGCCGCTGCTGCCGTCGCTGCTGCCGTTGCTGCTGCCGTCGCTGCTGCCGTTGCTGCTGCCGTCGCTGCTGCCGCTGCTGCTGCCGTCGTTGCTGCCGTCGTTGCTACCGTCGCTGCCACTGCTACCGTAACTGCTGCCGTCGCTGCCGCTGCTACCGTCGCTGCTGCCGTCGCTGCTGCCGTCGCTGCTACTGCTGCGCTGCCGTCGCTGCTGCCGCCGCTGCTGCCGTTGCTGCCACAGGCACTTGGAACGTCTACATAAAAAGGTAAATAAACACGAAACGTATTTACTACCAAAGTCTTAATGTTTCTCTACTCTCTTTCGCCTATTATTGCCGATAACTTGCTGTAAATGCCGTTCAAATGCTCCTTTGCAACACGCACGCACGCCCTCTGCACAAACAATAAGAATAATAGCTCTAGTATTTCTCTAATTTTGGTCTTGATTCTCTTCTTCCATGTTGGTTTCTCTGTGGGCTTCGTGACTTTTTTTTTGTCTCTCCAGCAATAACAGCAGCAGTAGCGTACATTAATTCATTGATTTCTGATAAGTTTAGATGGTTATCTTTGATGATATTGGTGAGGGCCTGATTTGCAGCTTGAATATCGTTCCGTATTGCCTTGTTGAGATGAAACCTTTTCAGGCTTCTGCGTTGATCCAGGTGGATTTCCTGAGTTTCAAGCAGCGTAGTACAGATTCGATCTTCCATATCCACTACCGATTCACCATCATGGGTATCCGCATGCTGCGGTGTTCGTGCAGCGTCGGGGTCTGGGGGTTGTAGGTCTTCAGGTTGTTCAGTGGGGATAAGTGTTGGTTGCGATGCATTATTTTGCTTTCTATCAGCATTATAGGCCTACACGTAAGGGAGATGCCCTGTGGACGTTTACAAGACATAAAAAAGTAATATTAGATTTGTCGCGTAATTGCACCATTCTATCAAGTGACGTAGCGATGGCGACCGGTCCGCCGTTGTTGTGTGTGTAACGGGATAGGGTGCTGGAAATGTGCATCATTTAACAGACAAACGTTTGGAGTGGAGTCACAATAGGTTTACATGTGTTCTGAAACATATATAATCTATATAGTAAATATAGAATTTCTTGCTCCAACTGATAGGCAAGACGGCGACGCAGGGGCTTAGTCGGATACCAGACTGAAACGCAATACTGATTATTTAGATATAGGTATGTGACGGAATATCTTTATTAAATCTACTCATACACGATACAACACAATGACTCTGTATCTTACTCGTCCTTACATACATTGAGGTTATATAGCTCATATTTCTGTTATATTTTCATATATATATATATACACGTAGGCCTACATATATAAGTATATATATCTATATATCTATCTATACTGCGGCGGTATGCGACGTTACGTTGATATAGACAACTTATATTAATAGACCATAATATGTTTATATAATAATCTATTTAACTACCATGAATTCGTGGCTCCATTATCGCCTTTGAGAAATTAAATATATGTGATATCTAAGCGTAAAACGATTATATGGCGAAACATCTCGGATGTAATATATGTATGTATGTAAGTCAGCACATTACCAGCTTTTATGTTAACTAAGGGTCTTGCTCCACGTTCGGCTGAGATGGGTTAATAGTGGACGTGGCACAACCAAATAGTTCCCTCACTGCTAGACGAAAGTCCTTGTACTTGTAGAAGTAGATGATTGGATTCAGCAATGAATTAAGTGTCAGTGCATTTATTCGAATGTGCCGAAGTGTTCGAAGTCGGAACGGGAAGTTGTGGAGTAAGATCATGTGAAGAACGTGCGGTGTAAGAGTAAACGAAGTGCCGACAACTGTAAGTAGGATCGTGGACATCTTCAGCGTAGCGTGGAAAGCGGACATGTCTTCTCTCTCCTTAGCTGACACTGCGGCCATCCTTCGTGTGTGGTCTCAGGCGATCTTAGCGATGACGACGTAGCAGTAAACCATGGCGATGAATATAATAATATAGTGACTCTAAATGACATACCCGAATGCGGGTGAGAGTTCTAGGTCAACGATGCAGATTGTAGGCGGCTCCCAGTGATACTTGGATAGCTGCTGCGATCCCAATCACAATCGTGTACGTCGTCGATAAAGTTATGAGAATACTACTGCGAGCAGGAGTCATCAGCTGGTTGTAGCGTAACGGATACACGACGGCCACGTATCTGTTGATTGTGCAGAGTGCAATTCCCATCAACGAGAGATTAAAAGCCGTCATTGAAACGGCTGAAAATGCGGTGCACCGCAGCATTGTGTCACGGCGTAGAATCCCTGTCCAGGCTGTACAGCCGATTATAAAGTCACAACAGGCCAGATTAGCGATCGTCATTTTTGCTGCTGTTCTCAGTCGGTGAATCTTTGTTATAACGATAATCACAAGACCATTGCCTACCGTTATAAATAGCGAAATCAGTACAATCAGTGGTACGTTTAGTAATCTAGTACGTGTTTTCATAGTAGTGATATTTGCGTCGTCTGGGTAATCCTCATCGGCGTTGTCTCGGAGAATACCTGTCAGGTTGCTATCGTTTAAAAACAAGGTCACATCCATCATCGATGCGCGAAGCTTTAAGATAGTCTACGTTTCTGTGAGTTACGCTGCTGTCTTCGGATTTTCGTGCTACTAGAAAACTTCTCATGCGCCACTTCAACATACACCTATCTTACCATCTGTTTAGACATATATACCTCGTTAAGCATAATTAACTAATAGCGCGTGTACGAGCTATGTTCAGCTTAGTATTTGATACTACATGAAACCAGTTAAATATTTAATGCAAGCGATAATGTATTAATCTCGCGGAACATAGGAGGATGCGTACACACATACACATGTCAGTCACAGAACTACAGACATAAGTTATCAGCTATACAGCTACAGATGTGAATTACTATTATAGCGCTACAGATGTGAATCGTTATTATAGCGCTACAGATGTGAATCGTTTAATGCAAGCAATACGAGAGTAGCTGCACTTGCGTTGCTCTAATAAAGGAAGTGGCGATGTCCATACATCCAATTCCTCCGTGGAAATATCGGTGATAGCTTTTTCAGTAGTAACAACTGCAATGAATATTTTACATCGTAGTTTCATGTAAAACAAATTGTTAATAGCTACTAGCTAGCATTTATTACGCTTGTTAGCGACGCATTTGTGAAAGTGCTCACGTTATCAATAGAACCTGTATAGCCATTTTTTTAGTTTACACAGAAGTTTTATATGCAACTAAATTACAGATTAAATGAAATAAACAATCATTACGGATTTTATAGAGTTCAAAAAACTTTACGAGTGATCGAACACGCATTCTAATTGGTTCTAAGCTGACGAGTGAAAACCAAGACATGATCTGATAGGTCAAGAACATTTTGGATTTCAAATTTTACATTTCAAATAGAAATATATTCAGTCGTCTTGGCTTAGAGTATATATATTTAGTGCGCTATGGACGGGCTGGTTTCGATTCCGTACATCGTTTGCCCCGCAAGTTTTTGCCCCAAACGCTGTTTGCCGTTGGAGTAACGCAGTGTTGGTATCAATATGTACCTAACGTTGAATCCACAGTGTATAATAGAGTGTTATATTATTTTGTTCTGTACGTCACCACCTTACATCCGTGTGCGAACACGGATAGATGACGGGATTAGGCAGGGTAAATAGTGGCATCACGGGGACGAGGACAATGAACACGAAATGTTGATGATCAATGGTCATCAATATATATAAGTATACGTGCATGGTAGCGTAAGGCAGAACTCTTCTTCTTCATCCGACCCATCTTCAAAATCCGATTTTCTGTTACAGACAGATCGCATCTGGATACATTTACCCGATCGCCTGCATTTGAATTCGTCACTCGAGCAGATCTTAACCTCTGAAAATTTCACGAGAAAATCAGTCTTCAGTGACATCCCTTTTCATTGTAGGCACGTGGATACGAAAGGTAAGATAAGGGTGTATATGGACTAACAAGATATTTAGCAAAACATATAATACGGTAAACAGATTCGTCTTAATGCTCTATTTCAGTGAAACAAGTATAACAATAGCTGCACTTAAAACGGAGATATCTAGCATGAAACTAAATGATAACATTAATTGTTGATTAAAATTTTAATTTATTTAGAACACAGTGAATTATATCACGGATATTAATAATAGTATTATTCGTTAATTAAATTTTAAAATGCATGTTTATTATTTTTGCTAATACAATTAATATTATGATCAACGAATCTTACGGCAGGCATCATCGCTCTCGTCTGAGCGGTCCTTACAAGTAGCCACGCCGTTACAAAGCTCGTAGTTGTCCACGCACATATTTGTCGACCAGCACCGAAAAAATGGCTCAGTACAATTCTGCTGCCCTATAAATTAATAACGAATTCACCATTACTCGATTCACATATACTAGCTAGATTAAGATAATAAAAGGGATAATAATGGATATTCAAGGTCAGCAGAAAAAATTAAGGCGCATGCTAGCTCTTATAGTTGAAACACCGTCAGCACAATTTAATTATAGTAGCAGGGACACGATAATAAATGATAATAGGGCATGACGTGAGATTATAAGAGCATAGAAGTGACACTACTAGCATGATAATAATAGAATAATAATGAATAAGGGGAGAATAATACCATATCCCTTTACTTCTAGTGACATATGTGCCCATTTAGTTACAGCTAAATGAAGGGATTTACTGTGAATTGTACTTGGGTTGTAATAGTAAATTTTCTGACACTTAGGGAAGTACAAATATGGGGTTTCACACGCTCCCATCGCCTCTAGCTCACACCTTTCCAGACATAAACCCTTCCAAGCTCGCAAATTAATGGCTACAATAATAATAACGGCTAATAACATATCCACAAAGACATTTGCATGCACGCACGCGTACACACACGCACACTCACAGATCTTTCTCGCACATCTATTGCCAGTTCACAATTATCTATCGCATTCCACCTACCCTCTTTTCTCTCCCGTGCGCTCTCTCTTTCTCTCTTTCTCCTTCTCCCCCATCTCCTCTTTTTCACGTTCCCTCAAGATGTCTCTCTCATGCTTCATCTTCCCATCTCTCTCTCTCTTTCTCCTTTTCCCCACTTGCTCTATACCTCGCTCCCTCTACAAACCATTCTCGCGTTCCCACTTTCCGCCTCTCTCTCTCGCTCTCTCTCTCCCTCTCGTTTTCTCCTTTTATTACTCCATTCGTTTCTTTTCACACCACGACCCGCATGCAGTATAAACACAGTTAGGTCAGCTCGCCTGTCAGAGCTGCTGCTATACGTACAGAATATATTCGCGCATTCGTAGTCGTAGAGTGGTTGCAATCCATGATTGCTACCGCACGTGAATTCCAGAGCGCCGAGCGGAGCATCAACGTTGGATCCGTCACAGAGGTGCGACAAACGGTAGCAGCTTCCCGTGGTCGGACAGTGCGCTTCGAAGTCTCTGCATGGTAGCGCCACTAGCAACGTATAATTTGATTAGTGATGAGGTTTCAGGCTGAAATATATAATCACACACACGCGCACGCACGCACGGACGGAACACAGCAATGCACCGCCACCGAATTTGAGTTTCTGAAATATTTTTTATACCGACAAATTATCATGCCTGCCCGATAGTCACAGCGTGCAATCATATACAAATCGGTCCTGTCTGCATAAAGCTCTATTTGCGATGTCGCGATGACTGTTGAATGCACAACGAAGACAGTGGAAATTTGCAGTGAGTTATACTGACTTCCGGTTATTGATCAATGGAGACTTACTCCGGCGCTACATATATAAACGTGCACAGCGGGTGATAATTGGATTCATGAAAAATATTAAATATTCCAAGTATAATATAAAATAATATAGTAATGTAAAAACCAGTTATATGATGAAAGACAATTGTACATTTTAACAGAACCTCTCCGTGAAAACAATCCGTTAACCATCTGGGCTGGGTATGGAAACTTTCAACTATCTATAAGCAGCACCGGTATGCGTTTTTCGCTTGCGATTTTTTATTCACGAGTGCGGTTCACATTCCTAGCAGTATTTTATAAACACTGTTGCGCAGGAAGACCAGTATAAATATATTAGAGTCACTCCGTTTTGTAAGCTGTACGAACCTACATGTTCCAACTCCAAATACCCGCTCTCCCACAGCACTGTGAGTTATGGTTACTGGTCTAGGAATATATAAACATATAACCATATATGAACCAATAATAACCAGAGCGCGATGGTTATAAGAATAGACATTGCTCCCCTGCCCCCTGCTCCTGAGTATATTGTTGGAGCTTTTCTACACGTGGGTACATCAGAAAGTCTTCTCCAGCC